CGTCTTAAGAACCCGAACGCCCAATACTGGCCTACGTGGATTTCAATACACACATCGAAAGCCTACCCATACAGTAGCAAGGTGTAATTCGCGATTCACCTGTTATCAAGGCTCTGAACAATCTTGCCTCCTATCTATCCATTCGTCTCTTTTACTCTGGAATCCCACTTTAGTGTAAGCGAGTTGATGGGTCCAGTAAAAACTTCTTTTCGTACTCTCGGCTACCTAGACATTGATACTATCCGCTCAAAAACACGCTTTCTTCCTTCGGAAAGGGGACCGGACAGTTACAAACCAGACATACTGCGATATCAGTGCGGATATCATCAAATACTTATCGTCTATATGTACGCGTACCAACTATTCGACCATATCCGTTCCCATCTTAAGGTTTCCCTATGGCTGACCTTTTTAGTTGGTAGAATGATCGATGTCGGGCTCTACAAGCTTGCATTGTACTACCAGGGTTAGCATTTCGACTGGCACCGCGACTTGTCGCACGGGGAAACCGATTGTGCTACCGTCTTCGCGGCGTTGAATACGTCTTGGGAGAGTGGCTCGCTTCTACCTACCACAGTGGGCAAGAGATTCAACCCAAGTCGTATCCATTACAGATCCAGAGAATGTCGGAATCTGGGAGTACGTCTGAATCTGGATCTGAACACGAACAGTCTCAGAGCAACAGCCCCCCGCAGGTATGTCAATCATAAAGTCGACCCAGTAATGGAGGGCATACGGTTGATACTCCAATACGACGTCTTCATCTCTCCTGAGGGAAGTGACGCAGACTTTGACTTTGACGATTACTATTCGAATATCGACGACGTTAGAGGTAAATCACGTCTTGATTACGCCGAGAAACGTATGGCAACAAACTTCGAGCCCCTCCTGGGTTCTTAGACGAAGCTCCCCTCTCAGCCCTTGTCGACCCAATCAAGGAGATTTTAGCCAGCCGTAGGGAGGATTTGGATTTCCACTCCGCCATCTATACTGCAAAGCGAGCTTTCGCGAAAATACCTCAAAGGCGTTGACGCCACCATCTACGCGAAGCCAATCAAGTATTTATTATCTCTCTTGCTCCTGTGATACTGGCAGAGAGAGATTCTATGTACGGTCAATGGACGTGGGAAGAAATGGGAGCATTCAAGGCTTTGGAAGAAGAGGAGGAAGGTAAGGTGTACAGGGAAGAAGGCAAAAACTGCATTGAGTTCCATTTGAATGACCTTTCAGATACTGTAGAGATTAGACGTGTGGAGTGCATTGAACACACAGACAATCATGTGCAGGAGGATAATTGCAGGTACTTTGGAGGATGTGTTCATTCACGCGAAGAGTTTGGAAGCGTAAGCGATATATAACCTCGTTCACATGGTGTACAAGCACATGCGTTATTTCGACTCTCCTCTACCTTATGCGAGTCCAATATTTCCAGCGTACGCGGGAACAGAAAGCTCGCATGAAAGTCACACATAACACACAAGGAGAAATACCATCTTTCCAGTGTTACAAGCTGAAGTCTCGCCTCACCAAGAGACTAACCTGTAAATGCTTTCAACGTACCTGTGCGCTCGGATACAGGAAATCATTCCTACTAGAATACATAAATCAGATTCCAGGAGTCCATCACGACAACCCACTACTCGAACCCGACATATACGAAGGCGGAGGCTCGTCTGTATACCCCAAAGCCCACGATGACCCCTGCTGCTCCGTCAAGTACCTGATCTGTCTCTCCAAACTTGAAATGAGCCTCCACTGTCGCTCGTTCTCCTCCATCAGCCGACCTTCAATATTGTTCTGCTCCAAAGTGGCGACCTGCGCTCGTAGTCCCTCTGCTCGGTCGCGCAATAACGCCTGGCGTACTGTCAGTGCATTATTAAGGGGTCTTGGTGCGGTTGGTGTCGATTCCACTGTTACCGCTATCGATGGTGTTTGGATTATGAATGGATGCGGAGTGGTAGTATAGTAATGTTCCTGCTCTGCGGATGCACGACGCGAAGTGCTGTTTCTGTGTCTTTTTCTCCGATATATCTGAATGCCGAAGCCCGTGATGATCGCCATTAGCCCGAGAGCACCGCATACACTTCCGGCAATGACAGCAGCGTTATTAGATGCGCTTGGCGACGGTGGGGATCTGTTGAAGATCAGATATTTGCTTCTCGAGAAGAAAGAAAAGCACTTGCGATGGCGTTAGAGTGGTGCCTGGTACTGGTACGCTGAAAAGAATTATAAGACTCGTGTTCTATCTTCCGGGAAAGAAGAAATATTCACATGCTTCTTGTAGTAAGAGAACCAAATGTCGTGGATGAAGCAGATGTCGTCGTCAATGTCCTGAAGATTTTTAGGGCGCCGATGAAACACCGAAATTGATTGTGACCAACATTTGAGGGCTTGTTCTGCGGGAAAGAATACATAAGCTCTCAGGTCCGTGTCGGTTAGGGAAAGGTCTTCACACTTGCATTGCTTTACCAGCGACGAAATTGAGAGTAAGGACATCTCTGGAAAGGTATTTTGGTTTCAGAACACTCAACGAGTCTAAATTTAGCACTTACTGAGCAGAGGGCGCTTGTGAGTTAGCGGCTTGAACGCTGATTATGTCACTAGAAGCGAGAATATCGCTCGAAGAGTTCGTCCTGACACGAATAGATTAAAGGAATGAAAAGACATGAAGGTTCAAAATGAACGTTTGAAATGCTTTTAATAGCATCGCCTCAGCAATGTATGATCTTTGAGCTAGTTAGATATCAGGTAAGGACCATGTCAGTGCACACACCCCTCTGTGTAAAACTGTACAAAAAAAGTCCCCTTGGTCTCTTGTACACCTCCGAATTGGCACCAATATGGGATAGTCTTCGTAGAAGGAAGCACGTCAGGTTGTCTCAATCGGAGACCAAAACCAACTTCTACGCTATCTTTGGCCTCCCTCGTCCACGCAACGCTAGCAGATGTATTGGCTAAGGTACTGCTGTTGAAATTAAATTGCCATGATGCGCTATATGGTGCAAAAAGAACGCTTTATGTATTTTTTCAGAGAGGGTTAGAAGAAAGACAGACGGGGCTCACAAGAGTAATGGAATGGCGAGCATCGTAGTTAAAGAACAGTAGTAGTGGGTGGAACGATGCCGCCCACAACGCCGATAGATATCAGTAGCGATGAGCTACGATCATTTCGTAAACTTCGCTAAAACTCAGGCTGAAGAGCCGGGATCAGGTAAAAATTGATAGTAGCAATGTGCGGACCGCTCCTGATGAACACATATATGTTAGCGAGACAGAAATCTACCGCTTCCAGGAGAGATATGACCCTAATATTGATGGATATAAGTACAAGTTCAGGATCGATAAGATGGTTACCAAAACCCGTGACTCATTCGTGGATGTTAGACTTTTTTTGTTTTGAACAGGTCATGGGCCCAAGAAATATCCAACATTGTTCCGGTCAGTAGATAGAAGTAGTTCAGACCAAGTCAAAGTCGTGGTGTACGACCGCAAGAAGAAGCAGGATCATGGCGGATCATGAATTCACGGGAACAGCCGCCGCGGTGCCACAATCTTCAGTAATTCTTTCAGCCTTTGCTTCGACTCTCAAGATCAAGGATCTTCTCACTGAAGCATAGCGTTATGAACGAATGAACGTTTTCTGGAATTTTGTCTCTCCGAATGGTGTGCACTCATTATCGATAAACCACCTGCTTAATAGATCTTTCTCACTGCTATCTTTCTTTCGCAACATTTTGTTCTGATAGATACCCCCCAGGAAGATTATCACAGGCAGAATTTTCTAGGTATCTTCACTCGTGGCATTAAAGGTCCTGTTAGCCTTTCACAGGACGTGAGGATGCTTACTCCCTCTTTCTGGGGTCATCGTTAACTTGGTGCACCTTTTAAGCCATCCCAGACGCTACTCGAAGCAACAGTACTCAAGTATGGAGCTTCTCCGCATAATTTCCCTTGTATTTTCAGTATCTGACGCTGGTTTTCTCATCGTGATCTACCCATTCCATTCTACATATGCCTCTTCGTTCGCAGAAGTCTCGCATATTCCCCGCGCCAATGTCAACGCGTAATTCATTCCCTCACACGACGGCCCAAAATTGAGAAGTGCTATAGACTTAACGACGAACTCGATATCAAACGCGCCATGAACCCGTACGCCATCCGCCATCCCCTTCTCCTGCATTGTCGCACACTTCGCATCATTGGCGTAGCTATGCGACAGACGAAGTCAACACAGACTCCGCCAGTGTTTAGGCTCGAGCCAATAAAGATAAATGCATCATCAATCCGTATGTCATCCTGTCTACCTTCTTGCCCTTTGATAAAGACCTCGTCAGGTATAACGATGAGGTCGACACCGATTCCGCTAGTGTTCGGGTTCGTTATTTTACCCGTATATCCTTTCTTCTTTGTTGCAACTATCCATATAAAGATTGTCAGGTACAATGATGAGATCCATGCTGGCTCTGTCCGTGTCTAGTTCCGCGACTCGGAGGAAGTTAATTCGTAAGTCTTCTGCTAGTACCACCGCTAGTACCTCCTCCTTACGCATTATGAGTTATAGCGACGATATTTCCAACGAATCCGCAAGAATTTCGGTTCGTCAGTACGTTCGTACGTGGCGCTGTTTTAATAAGAGTATGTATTTCACGTTGCTTCTCCCATTTCGACCATAGTTTGGAGAAATACGTACATGCAGTTGAAAGATATGTACCCTATTTTTTTTTCTTGCCTCACTGGCTATATCTGGGGTACAGTGAATTATTTACGTGGTAACTACAGTGTTTTAGAACGTTGCTAGAACGTCTTCTTTTTAGTCACCACGGACACAAATTGAAGATGATCGCAAATTATTCTTTGTAGGTATTCTACAATGGCTACCCGGACCGACATATGCTCCGCGGTAAGTTTTCCCCACTTTAATGGGTTCACTTTCTTCAGTGCTGTGACCAAGCTTCAGTGATATAACATCTGAGTTGTAGTAGGAAAGAAAATTGGACATCTGCCCCATGGCTGAGTTGGTTACAGTGTCCGACTATTATCCTCAATTTATAACAACATCGAAAGCTCGAGAGTTCGACCCTCTCTGGAGCAGTAAATTAGTCAATATTTTCGATATTTTTTATTCCGCCCTCGCCGGTCTCATTCGCTCAATAATGAATGCAGTCCCAAACTTTCCTTCCCAGCCGGATGCTTATCCGTTCTTACATGGTACAATGAAAAATTCAAAGCACTGTCGAACCACTCAGAAGATATGGCAGGAATGCCCGGCGGGTAGGTTGGAGGATATGACGACAATGAGAAGAATGACTGGGAACATAGTGTATGAAACTAGTAATAGCGCGACATATCAATCATTGGAATTACTTGACTTTGCAGGAAGTTATACTACATTTAGATACTGTTCTTACAGGTTTCAAAATTGAATCATGAGAGAAAAGAAATTTAAAAAAATGAAATTTTGAACTTGGCTCTGTATGGCATTGTATTCATCCTGACTCCACCAAAGCGAGAGAAAATGAAATAATGACCGGACAGAGGATTTCCATCCAACTCCAAGGAGAAGCCCCATAAAAGGGATCAGGCAGCTTACGGCGCTGAACGTCGCTATGGAAGAGAGTATTACCACGCTAGTCAGTAAATACAAAATGAATGCCACAGAAGAATAAATTGTGGCAGCTTCATGTGTAGTAAGTACAGCTAAAGTAATTCAAAGCAGTCCCAGAAAAGATAGAGAACCATGTCAGTTGCCTTATCAATCAACGGCTCGCATGCTCACTGACCGAAGATTCGTCAGCAGCGCTAAAAGAGATCAAGAAAGCACTGAAAGACGGTTTGAAGTCGAATACACATTATTTCTCATCCAACAGTAGAGCCCTAAGGATGGGTGCCTTGATGATAAGTCTGAAATAGTCATGTCAGTAGACTATTTCATTAGGACTAAGAGGAAAATCAGAGTGCTTGGTGAATAAGCCCTCACTGAGCGTAAACCTTCTCGATGATATCCGCCGTAGCGATCAGAGACCCAACGACATCGTCAACTGTATCTGAAAACGACAAGGGAAAGAGGGGGGGGGGGGGGGGGGGGGCATCTTGGGAAGAGCAACTGCTAAGGATAGAGCAGTTCCAGCCATTACCCATCCAGGTCATTAAGTGCTGAATGGATACAGTAAATTAACTGTCAAACCCACGCCAAACGGAACTTCGACTATCCCGTATTCCTGGCCATTAGATATGTATCTGTTGGAATCCTGGGTGTTGTGCAGGGTAGAATCCAGGCTGGTAAAGCCAGATGTAAAGGAATTGTTATTCTATGGCTCCTACAGAGCTCATATTTATACTACTTCGCACTAGAATCTAGAATGTACTACAACTTTCTACGACTCTCTTGCTTACTCATCGACTCTCGGCACGATGCCGGATTTCTCCTTCTAGAACTTTCCAGCAAGTATCACCGTAGACGGAAGGCTGAATTTTAATTATAAGGTGGGATGTTATCAGATTCGAACCAGGTGCGTGCAATGCACCCTCATCTTTAGGCGTTAGCTTTATGGCAAAATTTGCCCAATATCGATGAAAACGTGAGTGTCAGTGATCTCATCCATGAAAAAGTTAACTGGACTGAACCTTGTTTTATCAGCATATACTTCCGGAACTGGCTTCTCTCGCCTTTATAGCCCTAACCCATTCTCTCCCTCGCCTATCGCTACCTTACATGAATGCAATGAGAGGTTGTTATGATACTGGGGGTACACTACTGCCTTTGCTTGCTCACAGTTATGCCAGCTCGCACTCAAGGATCGTGGTATACCATATTCATATCCATTCAAACTGTCTTCTGATGTTCTTGGTCGGCAAGTTTTTGGCTTTCTCTTTTACGATCTACCTTACTAATACGGGATTATTGTTATATGTTTCACCTGCGTACCAGACTCACAAGAATGCCGTCTTCTATTTCGGATTCAGTTTGGATGTTGGGATGCTTGCACGCTTCGTCCTGACTGCACCTTATCGTTACGATAGGTATCTTTGTTGTCTTTGACGAAAATTTCTCAATGGATCCTTGACATTTGTATCTATGTAGGGTCGATGTCAGTGATACTTCTGTGACATCCATGCTGTGATAATTCGAAGAAGATTCTTCAGCGTTGTAGCTGAGAGATCGTTCAGCCCTCCTGAAAGTGGCTCATCCATCAGATCTTCTTCATTGTGTAACTCAGTATCACACTACAAGCATCAGATAGCTGACGAAACTTGTACTAAATAACCACCGTAGTAATCTTTGACATTTGCCCAAGACTCGAATATCATGTTCATTTCGATTAAGACTTCAAATTACAGTTCAACGTTTCATTCCCGCATCGCATCTGCATACACACTACCGTTCTCAAAATCACAATCATATCGCACTCCCATTCCCAGGGCCGTGCAAAAGTCAAAATAACGGCTTACGGTTGGATGACCCGACGCTCGGATGCTCGGAGGGTGACAGGTTAGTTGCACCTTCGTCGAGTCATTCATTAACGGTCCATTGCACTTGGCCAGAAATATATTTGTTTTTTTGGTCGTTATATGCATTTTATTCCGTTCGTCTCAGGAGCGAGAGTACGGATCTTGGGGTGTACGGGACTCTGAATAACTGGGCAAGACGACCTTCTTCTCCCGGCGTACGCGAAGCTTATTATTTTCTCCTGGCTAGAACTCGGTCCAATAAAGTATGTACTGTCTTTGCTCCTGCCTCTTTACTTCCGCGTTCTCATGACACAACAGTGGTTTATGTCTTCGCTCTCGACGTAATGCCGGAACAGACAACCTCGTGTTTCTAGTTTGTTCTCATGACTGAAGCATGACGTTTTGCGGGGGGGTATGCATATATCCGCCTTGGCTCCAAGCGGCCCGTGAGCTTCATGGAGCATTTCCGTCTGGATATGGGACGAACTTGTCCATAATCGTACCAAATTTTCATTTTCTAGCGACCATGATATCCCCATGATGCCCCTTATTATTTTGTTCCAAGTTAGAATTCTCCATTCAAATTCCTTATCATTCACCAAAACTTCGTTCCCACGACGGCGCCAAAATTACGACATTCCCCAGCATTGAAGTCACGCTATGAGTTTCCAAACATGTGGGTTCGAAGACCTGTGCTGAGGAGAAATGTCGGGTTCGACAAGCATTGGAGCTCACTTGATAGGATAGGACCGCGTGTATCTGAGGCCTATCGTCTTTAGTGCCAAGACAATATCCTACGAGAGCGTCTTACCTTGTACTCAGTCTGACAATTGAGATGCCTTGTGCTCGAGTTATTTGATCTTTCGCTATCTCTATTCTTAAAGTATTTTACAGTGAAGAGAGAGAGGAGTGTGAGCGCTATTTTGGCATTGAGGTTGATGCTTATGATGAATTCTAGCCAAGAACCTCCAAGAACTTCGCTCTCTACGAGGTTGATTATCGATGTATCTCGCACATGTGACCCGTTGCCACGATGCTCGCAGAGTTTTTGTCTTCTCGAGATAAGGAAACCGATATTTAAGCAGCAGGAACTTACTACTCAAAGACTATCACTCGACAGCTCTATAAAAATGCTCACTGCTTTGATCACCCTCAGCCTTGCCCTGTCCGGCTTCGCCAGTCCTTACCAGAGGAGCGCTGGTCTCAGCGTGTCCTTGTCAGGCCCCACTACCAATGTCACCAGTGTCTACGAACTCAAGTTCACGGCGAAAGTGACCAATGCTGGCGCAGAGTCTGTAAAGATCTTGAAGTACGGCACAATATTGGACGATATCCTTCCGACGCGCTCGTTCACTGTCACCAAGAACGGGGAAACTGTCCCGTTCACTGGGATTAAGGTGGCGTTGCTCTGTCTGATTTATTACGGGCACACAACTCACCGGCTTTGTGCAGCTTACGGTTTCATTGGAAGACATTGACGACTCTGCGTTTGCGGTCATTCCTCCTGGAGAATCAGTCACTGTTGAACACGAGCGTGAGTAGTCGTACTATATTTTCTCCGTTACCAAAGCTACCCATCTCACTATATAGTATCGACGCGCTTTGACTTTGCTTCCGCTGGTCCTGGAACATTCACGTTTGCGCCTGTTACGTCGTTCCAGATGACCAGTCCCCAAGCTAGATTGGCAAATGCGGCGAGTCTCGATCAGGTATCTATATCCTCCAGCTCTGTCGACGTGCACGTCTCCGGAGACCTAGCGAAGCGGGATCTTCCAGTCCTGGATGCACGCGCCGTTGATATCTGTACCTCTGCTTCTCAGAAGAGCTTTATCGACGCAAGGTCGGCATCTGCGGCTCTCCCTCTGGATTGCATGGCTCTCTGACGCGTAGTTTCAGCTATACGGAGGCGAAATCGTTAGCGTCTATTGCGTCGTCTTATATTTCCAACAATGGTGCTAATTCGCTGTACACTGCGTACTACGGCGCTACGTCAACATCGACGATTCGCAGCGTGTTTAATAACGTCGCGAGCGAGTCATCTGGCTCAAGGACGTAGGTTATTCTCATCCATCTTGCTTTTCGGCATCTCAATTCCCGCAGATTGAGCTGCACGGATACGTTCCGCGCTTGTAGCAGCGGTGTCATTGCATATACTGTCATCTCTACGACGAATGTACGTACGCGTTTCATCAACGAATTACATCTGACTGTGCACAGGTTTACTTCTGCAGTCTCTTTTTCAACGAGGTTCCCAGTACCAGTCTTTGTCGTGGAACCACTGTGGCGTCTCGGAATGTTCGGGGTGGGACGACCCTCCATGAGGCACGAGATATTATGAATGCACATAGATCGTTGAACTGATCGGGTCTGTCCTTTAGCTCACTCATGCGACCTCTGGTACCGATGATGTTATCTATGGTTGTGCCTCGGACCAGGCGCTTTCTGACGCTAACCAACGCATCAACGCAGATAATTATAATGTACGCCATATGCGATTAACACATAGTTCATTCTGATCTTTTTCGCAGTGCTTCTCAACTCAGGTCTATCAGAACACTCAGTGTTAAAAGCATCCCAAGTATTCCTCGAATTGAGGCACGGGCTTCTTATATGGTGCTGCTTGTGTTATAAATTTACGTTTTG